AGGAAGAATACCAGCGCGAATTGCTAGACAATGGATGGCTAACTCCATATCCCGAGGAAGAACTTGGTCCTCCATGAGGCCTCATCCTGTTGATGGCCGTGGTATAGAAGAACAAGGGAAAGGTGCGCCCCGTACTAGATAATAGAGAACTGAACGAACATGTAGACGCATATACACATTCTGATGTGTGTGCACAAAAATTGAGAGAATGGAGAAGAAAGGGATCCAATGTCTCTGTGATTGACCTTCGAAAGCCTACTTTCAGGTACGCGTGCACCCGTCACTGGGGCCATCTCAGACGGTGATCCTTAACGGCAGGAGATACTGCCTAACGCGAATGGTATTCGGGCTCAATGTGGCGCCGGCCATCATGAAAGCCATCGTGGATGCTGTGCTAACCAAGGATGAGACAATTCGTCAAGCAACGTCAGCTTACATTGGTGACATCTACACCAACGAAACTTTAGCGCCCGCTACGCAGGTGAAACAGCATCTTGCTCACTTTGTGCTCGAGTGTAAGAACCCAGAACGACTGGAGGACGGTGCTCGTGTGCTCGGCTTGCAGGTTTGGGCGGGGGGGGGGTCACAACGTGCTTTACTGGAAACGTGGGAGCGAACTCCCCGACATTCCCAGATACATGACAACGTGTTCTCGTTATGTGAAAAGCTGGTGGAGCATTTTCCTGTGGGCGGTTGGATCAGCATTGCGATTGCCTTTATCAAACGTAGGTCGACTGCTGTCACTTCCGGCTGGGGTGACAAAACAAATGATGCTCTCCTTAGAGACATGATAGCGGAAGTCATTACCAAGGTGCGTCAAGACGATCCCGTACGTGGTAAATAGTGCGTTGACGGATGTGAATTTGACGTCTTGGTCGACGCGAGCTCCCTTGCAACAGGAGTGTCCCTTGAAATAGATGGAACCGTCGTGGAAGGCATACATTGGTTGACATCCTGAGAAGGACACACGACATATCAACCTGTCGGAATTGGACGCCGTTATTAAAAGAGTAATCATGGCTCTTCAGTAGAATACAAATGTGTTGCATTTTTTCACGGATTCCGCATGCGTGCATAAGTGGATAGTAGACACCCTTACGGGAAGATACGTACAAAGGCTGCGAGCAAAATGCTCATTCGAAGGCGGCTAGACACACTGGGAAAGTTGGTGAGTACAACTTATCAGTGGATATACAGCTGGTTAGATCGAATCGGAACAAGGCATATAATTTAACAAGGGTACCCCAGAGATGGCTTGACACTGTTAAAAAAAAAAAAAAGGTAGAGCCGGTAGGACATGTCTATGCAACATCAGCGGCGACCGTATCTCAGATCTACTAAAACCTGTGCATTGCCAAAGCGGACATCCCGGTATAAAACGGACTCTGTATTTCGTGATTGATCCCTCCGTATCTAAAGCTGCCGTCAGGGCAGTGGTCAGAGAATGCAAGGAGTGTCAGTACATCGACCCTGCACCTGTGCAAGGATAACTGAATGTGAGCAAAGTGTGGCACCGTGTTGGAATGGACATCACCCATCATAATGGAACTCATTATCTAACCCTGATTGACTGTGGCCTAACCCGGTTCACTATTTGGCGACGTCTGCGTCGACAGGATTCCGTAAGCGTGATTAACCACTTGCAGACGTTATTGTTTGAACGTGGACCTCCGGCGGAACTCCTCACTGACAATGATGCCATCGGAGAGTCAAGAGAATCGCTGCTAGGAAGCAGTGTTCCATAATGGAAGTGGTGTATTGACACAACGTTAACCCTAAAGACAATGTGTCACCCTCAACTGCGCCAACCAATATGATTTACTGGTACAAAGTCCGACTAAGAGGCATTGACGCAACGCGTTCAACTGAATAGATAAAAGAGCGCCATACAACCTGGGCGATCGCGTGTGGGTAAAATCCGTTGTACAACTCAGTACCAGATGGAGCATATCACTGGAATCAGTAACTCACGCACTGTGCTGGTTAATGGAATGCCAAGACAGGTTTGTCAGAGTTGTCCCCCCTTACTTTACGCTTTGGCGTTGGAACCTCTCCTTCGCCGGCTGAGAGACAGGGCGTGCAGTCCAGCCCTACGTGGAATCGTTATCTTTGGAGGGGCTCGAGCCAGGGTTTCCGCGCACGCCGATGACGTATCCGCTTTCGTGTCGTCCCGCAGCAACATTGAGGTGGTACTGAAGGCGCTTGATCGGTACGAAAAGATGACAGGAGCCAAGATTAAAGTCGTCCGGCTTGCGGTTAGGTGCTTGGAAGGGGGTCGACCTTCGGTTGGACGGACGGTCGGTCCTGTTCGCATTCTTGGAGTGTAGTTTGGACCCGACATCCAGCTGGAGAAAAATTGGTCAGAAGTACAGGCAAAGGTCGACGCGGCCGGTGAGACTTGGCGCCAACGGAGGTTGTCCGTGAAGGGCAGGGCGGAAGCGTATGCTACTTACGTCTTTACTCTTGTCCTTTATCGCTTGTCTTTACTTTCTATCTGTAAAGACCACAAGAAGGCGCTCGCGCGCTCGCTAGCTTCCATTTTATGGAGGGGACGCAAGCATAAAGTTGACAGAAGTCTGTGCACAACGTCCGTGTCATCAGGGGCGCTGGGAATACCATACTGCGAATCACAAGCTTGCCTCGAGATTGGCTTTCCTACACCGCGCATTGACAGGAGATTCGATTATGGCGGAGATTGTAAGGGACGCTTCCCGTTCCTTATTATCACTCCCCCCATCTCGCGGGCTGAGCGCCGTCGTAAACCCCGGAATCAATCGGATTACCATCGCGAGTGTCGATATGCCTTGAATATCATTCCTCGGTTCAGTGACCTTTCTCAGCCTAGGAGGCTTTTCTATTGTTATCTAGTGGAAGGGGGCACGAAGGATCCTCTACGTGAGCGGCTCGACTTGTCGGAGAGGGAGTTTCGCTCCTACTGGTCTTGGGCGCCAGCGGCGGATTACCTCAGTAACCATGAGTTTTCGCTTACCTGGCGACTGGCTCGGAATAAACTGCCTCTCAATGACATGGCCTTCATATGGGGCTTGGTGGATTTGCCAGACTGTGAACGATGTGACCTTGGCCTGAACGAAACGGCTTCGCACGCCTCTACCATTGTCTCCGAGTCTGCCCCCTATGGGACCGTGTCGGAGAGCTGACGGCTCGTATCGCTCCCGAAAAGCTCGTGCTTATTGATCGCGGATACGCGTGTGACAATGTATCGTCATTGTATTCTGGGGTGAAACGAATGGTGTTTCTAACGCTGCTGGCCACGACCCGAATTGTGATTTGGATGACGCGACTGGAGGAAGTCTTGCGAGGCAATCGTCTTTCGCATCAGGATCTGATTCGATTCTTTTGATGAAGATTAGAAATGATAGAAAACGCTTGATTTCGATAGACTTTAGCGAAAGGTGGGTGACTAAGGCGAGCTTGGTTCGTTTGAACGGGGCTAGCCTTGATTTTCTCTTTTAGGTCAACCTATATCGCATCGGAGTGGTTTCTTGTGGAGCCCTCCCCTGGTTAGGCTAGACAAGCTTTGTGTACCTAGTTAATGTGAATAAGTGTTGTTCCCGTCCTGCTCCAGACTACATCTTTTGTTATGATCAAAGTTGAGATTCCCAACCTTCCCAGTTTATTTTTGGCCCCTTTTCATCTCGACTGGGCCAGCTTTCTTTATTTCCCATGTCCGCATCTCCTTTCTCCCCTCTCTTAGCGAGATAGCCTCTTGATTTTGTCCAAGGGCAGAATACATCGCTTTCTTTTTGTGTGGTTTGGATGGGTCCTACTAACATATATCATGTTTATTTTTGCTTTCTTTTGATATTTAGTTTGTTTTTGGGGGTTTCATCCCCTCCTCACTGATGTTCATCCATCAGATTTTTATGTATAAAGCGTATTGAGCGTCTTCAGCAGAACGGAGCATATTTGGAGCATATTCTATAAATGACGATAAAAACTTTGCCAGTTAGTGACATGTTGTTCGTAGCAGTAGATTTGCTAACTTCCCTAGTTTTCAGAAATATATGGTTTTTATAAGGTATGTAACAGAAAATAAATGGCGTTCTCGGTGTTACATTTTTGGGACACCCTGTAGTGTAACAGCAATATATTTTTTATTTTATTTATTTTTTTGCTTATTCAAATATTAAATTTAATCTGTTAGCTTGGAATAAAAGCTTCAAGAAAGATTTTTCATTTTTTTAAAAATGCGCTTTAAACTGTAGGCATCGCAATTTTTCTCTTTTTGACGGGGAGGTACCTACATTTATGGGAAAGTAGCTGATTCCAGGGACTCCGAAAGTTATGTTTTTAACATTGGCACGTGAAAGATTTATCAACCAATCAGGCTCAAGTTTACAAAATTTAAAATGAGTTTTGAAGAATATTTGATTTCAACTTCGTTTTGACTTTTGATTCTCTTTGTACAGATTTTGATAAAAACGAAATTGTGAATACACGAATTGTTTTCACTTTTTTGAGATGCAAGCAAATACTTGGTGCCAATTTCTTTCCAATTTTTGCTGGTGATACACTTTTATCAGAATATAGATTAGGAGATCTTTTAAATATCTTGTTTAAATGAAAATTCTTTCAAATATTTTTTAATTTCTCACACACTTACTTATGGATATAAAAAACTCAAAAGTAAAGAAAGACTTTCATTTTTTTCAAATATATTTTATCTTAATAAATTCTTATAATCTGTTACGCATTGTTAGCTGGAAACAGATATTGTTGATTCTTAGTGGTTGCTAACCAGACTTTTTGTGCTTGTGCGTTATACTTTGTTTTAAAATTGCTGTTCTTTCAACGTAAGTGTTTAAGAACCTGTCTGACTTTTCACCTTGGTTTTGTTAGCAGAGTTGTCTCCCATTGAACGTGTACCTCTCCAATTTCGTTGTGGAGGCGGTGGCGACTGCATCTGTTGAGAGAGAAATAACAGAAGAATTTGGTTGCAACGATGTTTTTGGCCGCTTTCATATTTATCTTGGTTCTAGTTTTGAATTATTTACCCAAATATGGCACGGTCATCTCACGATGGGTGAGTAATTCTAACATAGTCATTTTCGAAGGTGTTATTTATTTCACAATAATAATCGACTCTACAGATCTCTTTGTTATTTTATTGATCCCTTATATGTCCAACTTTCTGCAAAATTAAAAAAAAACATGTTTCATTGACTCAAATTCAAGTATATATATATATATATTATATATATATATATATAGAGAGAGAGAACACGCAACAATTTCTTCATGCCAACGTATCTTGACTCATGTGTGAAGTAGTCGTAACGGTTCTTAATGTAAATTTTAATTTAAAAACTGCTAAAAGTTTGATTTTGATGTTTTAGCTTCAATCCTTAAGAAGATATAACACTTGTAATTTTTTTTTTAAATAAAGTAATTTCAATACAATTTCCCTTCAAATTTTATTTGTCTTGGTAACTTTATATTTTAGGATAATAATTTACTTACTCAGTTTGCGCGGTTTCTAAAATATTTTAAAAACAAAAAAAGTTGAATTTTGAGAAATTACCCGTAAAAAATTAGTAAAATTTTCAAGTAAAAATGTAAACATTTTTTCAAGTTTGCTCTTGTAAATTTTTCCAGTTTTATTTAGATTTCTGTAAAGTTGGTCGTTTGATGATTTTAATTTTGTTAAAAATTTTAATAAAAATGAATGGTAAAGAGAAAAACTAAAAAGAAAGTTAATTGCGTCAAAAATTTGACAGTACTTTTTTATTAATTAGAATTACAGATTTTTTTTTGTTGTTGATTTTTGTAAAACTCCTTTCATCTAGTTAAACGGATTTTTCATAATTTTAAAAAAAAGCAACATTCATTTAACCGAACGTGATGGTTTTTCAGTTTCAGTGCCTTAGAAAATAACATCCATAAAACTTTTATTCGAAACAATTTTTTTATGATAAAAATAAAATTGTTCCGAATTAATATTTTTTCTGTCATTGAAACACGAGAGAGATAGCATTTTATTTTAATAATGTGGATAACAATTCTCAAAACGTAACAGTTAATGTTTGCTAACTTTGCAATACTAGGCGCACATATTTACTATGATTAACTAAGTCTGACACAAGGTCAAACGTGTATGATCCCGATAATGATGGAGTGAAAAAGAGGCGGTCGAGCTTGCTAACTACTGTTCCACGGCGAGCCAATTATTGTGTGGTGGTTTAAGAAGGGTTATGTTGAATATCGGATTGATAAAATTAGCATAAGTAAAAAAAAAAAAAAAAAAAAAGTAAGATTGATAAAAGAAAACTTATCACCACAGACTTTAAAAAAAATATAAAAAAAGCAAACGTAGGACGCATTTAAAAAAATTCAAATTTAAATAAGTGACATTTTTTTGGCTTTATTTGAAAGACAGAATAGCATCAACAAACAAAAAAGAATCCGTAAAAAAAAAAATCAAACTTAATTTTACGGTTTTACCGTACGTAATGTTTTTTTTACTTTTTTAGGCATTATCTCCGTCAATTCCTACTCATCATTTTACTTATAGATTTGTTTCAAAGTAAATTAGTAAATTTTAACTATTATCTAACTGGATTTTGTAAAATAATACTTTTTCCTTAAAACATTTATGCGCAGTAGCCCGAGTGCTGTCATCAAGTTCATAGGTCAACAACAGTAGTCTTCTACTGTCGCCACTTAAAAAAAAAAAAAAAAAAAAAAAAAAAAAAACGCGCGTAAAGTACGGAGGACGAAAGCTACTAGAATTTAGAAACTGGTATTGTTTAAAGATAAATCCTGTTTAACAGTAATATAAGCATATATAGACAATAGTTTATGTATGACTATAATTTTTATTATGCTAAAGACTTTTATGAAACTTAACAGATTGAATGATTTTATTTTTTTATGTTACCATAGATAGGTATCTCTACAGATTTTCTAAAAATAACAATAATGCATTTTAAATAATTTGAAGTTAAATTGTAGTTTTGTTTGTAAGATCCTAATGTAAAGAATCCATAAAAAATTAAAAATGATTTTATGCCCTTAAATAAAGATTTTGGACATTTTTAAAACAGAATAATGAAATTAAACTCATTTCTTCCCACTTTGAGCACTAAATTTGATGCATGCCAACATAAGAAATTAGAACACTTTAAAAATCCAATGTGTTTCAGGCACTTGGTTTGAAAAAAGATATATTATATTTAGGGAATAATTAGATTTTGTGAAAATATTACTTACTTTTTGCAAAAAATGTAACAAAATAATATATTTTCCATTTCTCTCTTATGAACATGTTCAAAAGTCAAACAATTGTAGTCTTACAGTCCTGCTCCTGCTCCTACTTTAAAAAATTTATCCATAAACTAGATAAAATACAAAATCCCATCCATTAGAAAATTTAGTAGAAATATTTTTCAGTTCGCTTACACCTCCATAACCAAGTAATTTCTTTATCTTTATTTCTAAAATTATCATGACAAAAAATACTTTATTAAACAAAGAAAACTACTATCAGCATGATTACTCATTGACTAATGTGAAGGGACAGAATTCAGAATTTTATTTTTCATTCTCATTTTGATCTGTAGAATAAAAAAATCAAACAGTTGTAGAAAGAAAAAAAAATATATAAAAAATGTTCACACTCGAAAATGACATTAGATTTACATTTTTCAATTCTTCAAACACATCTTTATTTTATACAAAATTTATCTGCAATGACCATGATCTGAAAAAGTTTTAAAATCCTACTCTAAAAATGTTTGTCAATTTTTCACACCAGGATTTTTTTCTTTTTTTTAAGATTTTGGATCATATTTTCAATGTTCAAAGTTGATAATAAATATTTTCTTTAATGATATAACATGTTTAGGGATTTAGAATTATAAAAATGTAAAAATTACGAACAGTCAAAATTCACTTGTACAGATTAGTCATGAGTTAAATAATGCTGGTGTTTTTTAACTGACCTGAAAAAGATACTTCCACAAAACTTAAAAATAAATCAGTATAAAGCTCATTCATTCATTCATGAATAAATGTTGAAAATATTAATGAAATTCAATAATTCCCTGATTTGGGGGAAATTTTTTTAAAATGAAAGATATCCATTTTGTTTTGTGTGTGTTTTTTTAATGTGCGAAATGTGTGCATTATTTTGGAGGTGTTTAATTATTAACTTGTGCAAATACCAATGCTCAAGAAATTCAAAAAATTATTTTTTGGGTTTATTGAATTATTTTTGCTAAGGCTCTGGATGAATTTTCAGTAAGTTCAATGTTGATATTGAATAACTTTTGTTTACTGAAATAACATCTTCAGGAAAAAATTTCATGCACATTCCTCAAATCAATGTGTTCAAGATATTGAAATAGGGTTTATGAAACTGACCAAAAAAATATTTCCACAAAGTTTTCTAGCATAATGATCTATTTAATTCATGAATAAGTCTTTGATTTTTGATGAGTTTTCCAAAACTGGGGGTAGGATTTTGCTTTCATTATAGAAAATGTGAATGCTTTTTGATGATGCCAACCATATTCCACCCCTGACTTTTGAACAAGAGTAGCGGTTTATCCCTTGTTTCCTGTTTAGAATTGGGTTTCCAGTTCCTTCTAAAGTCTACTTCAGCTCTATACTTCTAAAATTTGAATGTCTGAATTCTGAAATTTTATTCATTAATTAAATTTTGACCTCTCCACGATGAGAATTATCTGTCTTTCCTGTTATTTTGCCCTTTTTTTTGTTAATACAACTCAACACAGTAACTCTACCTTGAGTGGCTTTTGGGCCTTGTATTAGAAAATAAAAAGCAATAAGTTAAAATTGTTGCAATATATCTCAACAAAAGACAAGAGAAAAATGATGGTTCTGTACACATTTTACAGTAAAGGCTAAAAGGGATTGAATTCTGCTCGTTCTGAAAAAAAGCATATTAAGTTTTAGATTTCTTGATTTACTCACGATTGATATAATTCATTTTTTCTTTCTCTAGTGTTAATATACTTTGATATTTTTAAGGAGAAAAAGACTTTGTCATCAATCAAAATGTGTTTTCCTTTAAATTTTAAATTAAAAGAAAAATCTCAGTTTTAGCACATTTAATAGTTTCAAATATTTATCTATATTTAGATTTCTCCACAAATAACCCCCAAATTTAGGGTATAAAAATGCTGTTTTTACCTTTCTTTTTTGTTTTGTTTTCTGGTCTTATTAATTAATTTTTTTTACCTCTTAAAGCAACTTTTGCATAAAAAACTCTGACTTACCTTCCTTATATTTCCCATCATTTCTTTAACTAGCTTCATATCCTGAATCATTCTTTGGATTTGAAAAGTAATGTATCAGAAATAATACTAAAACAAAAAATAGCACACAATATGCAATGTAATTTCTCACAATATTTTCTATTTTATTTTTGGTGCAGATGGGTCTGACCTTTTTATTTTAATTATTTTTGTTTTCCAAATATTGAGCAAGACTGTTTTAAATGTTCTGGGTGTAACTAGTTACAACCAGAACATTTTCCCATCATATAGGATGGGAATGATTCTTGGCTGGTACCATTTTGGATTTATCACTTCTTTTTTTGCAGCTTTTCTAAAAAGATTCTACAATTTTCTTGCTGCTATTACTTACACATACCAAAATGGCTTAAGTTTTGATAAGTGCATGTCATCCATTAGTTATAATTGTTTATTCCAGAATTGTTAAATAATTGGTTCTGATATAGTTAAAATTGATTATATTGCATTTCTGATACAATTGTTTAATTTCTTGTTATTTCTGATGCATAACTTATCAAATCCAAAGTAATGCTAAGAATATGAGCCCTGTTAAAGAAATGTAAGGGAAATAATTTAATGTTTGTTATGCAAAAATGATTTATTGTTAAAATCAACAATACTCTTGATTGCATGAGCATTTTCTTGCAGTTAGTTTTATTGGGAGAGTTTGAAAGAAAGGTTTATTCTCCCATTTGTATTTTTCCCATTATAGTCATTATTATATTCATGGTATAATAAAACTGTATTTCACATATGGAATGAAATGACTGAAAGGAAAAGGAATGACAAATATGCTTTGTTCTCATAGAGTGTTTTATAATGTTAAGTCATACACAAAATTATATATACATATTTACACATGTCCCACACAGAGAGAAATATAACATGTATCTATACAGCAAGCAGAGTGAAAGGAGCATGAAAAGATAGTCTCTTACATATAATATGGAGATTCTTCTGTGTTTCTGTAGAAGCCATGTTTAGGACTCCAGATTCAAGCGGGCTGGATTTATCTACTATATCCCAAACAAAGGACATATTCCGCAAGTAGGAAATAGCAAAACTTGGGCAGCATTTTTCATTTCAATGGCTGTTACTTGTGATAAAAACCATACTTACAAATTCTTTTCCCAGACTAATCATCATCAGTCCTTTGATGGCTTCAGTTATTGGGGCAGAAGAAACAGACAATCTCCTCCAGGATGATATGTTAGTGGTGGCTCTCAGGGCTTCTGGCATTGGGTTCTGTCCACTCTTTGATGTTGTCTGACCAGCTTTGTGCTGCAGTCCCCACCTTCAATAGCATGATGGTCTTGCAGAGGCTGTATTACTGTGTGATGTGGCCAAATCATGACATCTTCCAACACTTAATAGTGGCATGGACATATTCCTGTTGGCCCATAAGACTTTTGACCTTGCTTTGTACATAGTCATTGGTTTTGTGATCCCAGGAGATGTAGAGGAGCTTTCTCAAGACTAATAGTCATGTAGTAAAGAAGGAATTGGCTAAATGTCTTTAATTTGTTTGGTTTTAGATTTGGTTTATTATACATATATATATATATATATATATATATATATATATATATATATATATATATATATATATATATATATATATATTTTATTACATTCTTTATGCCATTTTTAACTTTAGAAATTTGTGAAGGATGTTTATGGGATTGTACATGCTCAATGCTTTTATTTTTCTGGTAATATATTGTATTGGTTCATGAGTGGAATTTTCTGTTTCAATTTGCAATAATTATCTGAATATGTGCTTTATTTCTGTATCATTACAAATAATATATTTTGTAGAGGTGGTTGTAGTATTAGAAATAAGAACAACTCACTTTTCTATGGTTGATACCAAATTTCAGTTTATTAGAATGTAGAATGATGAGAGGAAGAAGTCAAACAATGAACAAGACTTCTTTATTTTAAACTGGTTACTGTGAATTTCAGTTTCCCCCTAACCCTATATGAAGTCCTTGATGCACAAAAAGTAGAACTAATCTATAAATATTTACTGGTTGAATTTTATATACATTCCTTAGTCACATCTGCATCTTCCTTTTAATCATGTCATGTTACCTAATGTCAGAGACATGTCCTTTGATCATGTCACGTTACTTGAATATATACATTTATTTTTTTCTTTTCTTCTACAGCTTTGCCGGATGCTGTTCAAGGTGGATGAAGCGGAAATGGATTTACGAACGGAATTAAGAGATTTGAAAGCAGAACAGAATACAATTAGCATGTCAGATGAGTTTTCAAAATATTTCAAATTGCAACGTAAAATTGAAAAATTAGGACAGGATGTCAAACAAAGAGGTTTGTTTGCTTGTTTTTTTTTTTCATTTTTAAACTATTTTAGTTGAAAACTTATCATCACAATAATCTGTTTAATCCAAGTCAAAATAATTTTAGCCAAATAGCAAATATATAGTAAATTTCTTTCTTCTACCAGGATCATAATGATTTATCTTTATGGTGATCAGCCTAATCAGTGGCTGCGACTTTTCATTATGAGAGTACTGAGTTGGCAGTTTGCTGGCTGCTGCTTCCAACTGGTCGTTAGGTGCCTGAACTCTTTAGTAGTGCTTAGAGAATCTGCTCTGATCAACAGCCACATAATATCGGTATTTGTAGTGCTATATCATGAATGGGTAAGTGTCTCTGCACACATTTCTGGTGAGCAACCCCACATTGTGCTCTGTTCTCAGCCATTCTCTGGCTAGTTTATATTGTCATGGATGACAAATAGTGATAATTATGGTGGCCTTTTCTCTTTCTTCTCAAAACAAATCTCATGTAAAACACAATAAAAAGAAATACAACTAAACCAGTAAACAAAAAAAAACACCTACCCTCCGTCAACTTTTCTTTCTCCAATATTTTTAGTATCTGTATCTGTTCCAACTTCAGCAGCATAGAATTTTTTCTCTTGTAATGGTCATCAGATATCTTTGTGAAACCAATTCTTTCATTGCTACCAATGAATTCTTGGTTCCAGGCTATCTTCCGATTTACTAAAAAGATTCCCGTATTCACATGCATGGCCTTGCTGTTTACAACTGGAATAATCTTCTGATGGCCAGGGAATCATCTCCCTGACAACTCCTTCATGTGCTTCCATCTTTCATTACTAAACCATGTAAGCTACCTCTTTTTCCTTTATTGCTCCCCCTCTTCCGAGGACTGCAGTAGATTAGACATAATCTCTGAGAGTATAGAAAAGGCACTCGCTCTCCAGCTATCTGTGAACATCATTGTCTTTGGTGATTTTAATGCACACTATGACACTTGGCTTAAACATTCTAAAGGTACTGATGTTGCCAGTATTCAAATATTAAATTTTTCCATTGCCCAATCCCTTATTCAAATCATGGATTTTTCTACTCATTTCTCTAAGCAGATCTACTTGATTTATTTCTTACCTTCTCTCCTCGCTCATGCTGAGCTTTGCAATACTGCCCTCTTGATGACTCTGATCACTCTGTGGTATCTGTTGCTATTTCATTCCAATCATCTATTAAACAGGAACTCCATATTCATAAGACCTCTTTCTGTTACCAGCGTTCTGATTGGGACTTACTGTGATTCTGTCAGCAGGTCACATGGGTCTCAGAAGCTCCTATACTACTGTCTCATCTCGTCTTCTATCTGCAACTCTAGCTCCAATTGCTTGGGTCAAGCACTTTGCTTATATTGACTTTTTGGAGCTGACAGTGTTTGGGAATTTAGGAGTTCCTCAGGTTTCTATATTGATTTAAACAAAGGTTCTTTTGTTATCTGGTTTGTAATGTTATCTCTCCAAATTTGGGAGATCCTCTCTTCCTACAAGTAGTGGTTGCTGGTATTGTCCTGCATGTATAATTAATTCCTTCTCTTATCTATGTCTTGCACCATTGCTTCCAAATGTGTGGAGATAATTTCTCCATCTCTCTTGATATCTCATCTAAGCCTGCCACCTTAGTTGTTTTTTGATAACTCTGACTTTCAAACTACATGGGTAGAAAGGCAGTCTCAACTTTTAGTCATTAATTGTAAGTATCTTTAGTTCTATCTGAATTCCTTCAATGCAGGATAAAATCTCATTTCTCTGACTTGCTTAAGGCAGACAGGATGAGCCCAGTCTTTTGATTTTGCCTTTGTCCTCAAAATTATCAAATATTATACTCAATTGATGTAGAAAAAAGAAGAGAGAAAAACGAAAAAGTGACGAGAGGGTTCGCCGGCAAACCAGCTGTTCTTCTTCACCGTCGGTTGCTTCAAAGAAATTAATTGCAAAACTCCTTTTCTCGGCCGTTACACCGGGCAGTCGTGAAACAGACACCTAAATCAGACATGCCTACTTCAACCACCTCTTGGTCGGCCAGTCTATTCGCATGTCCGACTCTGTTTCATGAAGTTCGCCGAGTGACTCGCCGTCTGTGTGCCACTGGCGCCTTGCCTTTTTTATGATAGTCTGACACTGCTGAAATTTGCATGTGTACTGGTTCAATCTCATTTTGGATGAGACCGGCGCATATAAATCGTGTCTTCGACACGGCCCATGTTTTCTCTTGGATTCATCATGCAAGCAAGACACGTTTGCACACGTTTCGAGCTCCGAGGTAAGTCATCACACCCCTCCCTGATCTCATGATCACAAAGGTGGCAGCCCGGCGGCTGTCGTTTTTGACGGGTGCTTCTTCGTAAAAGCAGGGCGGGGTGGGGGTTGTTGCTCTGATCTCGCTCCCACTTCAAGTGGATTGTCAGAGGGGTCTCTGCTTCTATTCCCTCTTCAGGTGGATCGACACATTCAGCACTTTCTTCGTTGAGCAGCAAACTTTCCGCCCAGCTCTCAGATGTGTTGTCAGAATCTTTCTCGGATGCGCCGTAACTGTGGTGCGGGCATAGATCCTTAACGTGGCAGGGTATTCCGTCCACCAGAAATGACTGCAGGCTGATCTTTTTCGTCACCCGACCCTTGTTGAACCTGGTGGTGCACCAACTTATTGGCGCCTTGGCCCACACGCGATCTCTGACCTGGTAGGAGCTGTGACCAGGGTCTAAAGACATCATTAGGGCGTCAATCACTTTCACCCTCAGTTCGTATCGGTGGATCCTGTTGGTAGGTACAGTCTGGGGTGATGTACTGTCTTTTGGTGTGACGTTGTACCAGTAGACGGCTTCCTGTACAGAACAGCACATTCTGGCCGTGATTCATTTTATTGTGTGGTGGCATCGCTCCGCTATACCATTCCCAGCTGGGGCATATGAGCAGCGGAACCGAAGTTGACTCCCCACTCACACGCAAAAGCTCTGAATTCCCTGCTGCAGAAAGTTGGGTCATTGTCCGTGAATAGCTCATGGGGTGGGCCCTGCTCGAGGAACACTTCTTTCAGCTGGCGAATGACGGCTGCCGAGTCTTGTCTTGCCGACTGCTTCCAGATTGAAAAACGCGATGGACCGCAGTTAGTCAGCGTTAGGAAATGATGGGCATCATAGTGGGTGGTATCCATCCCCAGTCTCTGACCGTTTCCGCTTACCTCAAGCTTTCTTTTTTTCCAGCGAGTTGGTGCAGGGTCTATGGACTGACATTCCTCACACGTCCGTATAGCTGATCTAACGGCTGCTTTTGTCAGTGACGGGCAGACTCTCCTGCCAAACTAGGTAGTATGCTGCACTCCTGACTGACGACTGTTCCTGTGGATGGACATGATTCGATCTGCGTCTAGTTCGTCCACATGGGTGGCGCCAATCATTGGCCTGGGTCCATTACATGTCTTCATTGCGTCAAACCATAGCTGCGGTACTCTTGTCAGTTCATCAGCTATATTCAGAGCTAAAGGGACCAGTGCCACGTCCACGGTCAGCTGATACTCTTCCATGAGCTCCTTAAGAGTGCTCAACCGCCACCTGATGAGCATTTCGTTTGTCGCCTTGGTGTGCACTTGTGCTCTTTCCAGTCAGAGTATCCGATACACAATGGTACACGCAAACGGAATCCGTTTTTAGGTGTAGCATCTTGCTCTGCCACTGGAGTGCTAGATTGACGCCTTTCAACACGGCATCCAGCTCGGCCAGGTTGATGCTGAGCGTCATCTTTAGGTCGCAACCAGCAGGCATATTCCAGCACCGTCTCGTGGCTCTCTAACACTACTCTGGTTGCCAGGGAACTTGCATCGACCTACACATTCAGCTCCCGGGCATCCACGCACCACTCCCCACGAGCTGGATTGTCCCGCTGCACAGAATCCATGGTCTCAGACACCATGTGCTGGAGAAGGGCATCTTTTGTTTCATCGTCCCAACCCTTCGTAACTGTACTTGCTCTCCTCTTGAGCATTCCACATGCCACACGGGGCCAAACACACACTGGGAGGTGCCCAACAAGCCTTCCACACAGAGAGAACACCTTCCGTCGCGTAACGACATCAGGGGCGTTAGGAACCACGCTTCCTCGTCTCCACCGCGGTCTTCCTTGTTTCATCGTGACTGCCATACATAGTACCTGTGCGCCATCCTCCAACCATTCTGGGTCCTTGCATTCCAGCCCAATTGCGGGAACAACATCTTCATTGATATAGACATCGTCAATGTAGGCAGATGCCGCACGACCCACAGCTTCTTCCTGAGCCAGCACCGTACTGCTGATGGCCTTCAGGATGAGAGGGGCCACATTTAATCCAAATCCTAAATGTGTCAGGCAATATCTTCTCCCATCAATTTTCACGGTCTGGTATGGCCAGAGTGACTCGTGGAGACGTATTTGGAGGTACGCTCTCCTGAGATCCAACAAGGACATGTTGGATACCTTTTGCCGCCATTCACGCAGTTTAGCTGCACAGACGTCTGCATCAGCGGTGAAAGCATCAATGTGATGGTTGAGCTTCCGGAAGTCCATCACCGGGCGTACCTTCGACTTGTTCTGCTGTAGTACGGCCATCAGGGGAATTAGCCCCTTGGGAGGCCCCAGTTTTTCTTCTGGGTACGGTATGAGCCAGCCACTGCTGATCCACGTGCGGAGTTGAAGGTGGCAGTGAAGTCTGGTTCATTCACAGTAATGGCTGTGCATTTGGCTACTTGCCCATTGCCAATCTGTGCTCGTCCTGTATGCCCAACAGTAACACCTCCCAATGCTGTTATGGCATCAATCCCCAATAGCAGGTCAAATCCTAGTGGTTTGCCATCCACCACCAGCATGTCGATCTTAGCAGAACCGCCTTCCTTTGTGGATACAGTTACCACTCCCATGCCGCAACACGGACAGGACACGCCTCCAATAGTCATGACATCCACCTGCACTTTCTTCCAAGACCGGCACCGATCTGCATCCACAATTGTCCGTGAACAGCCGGTAACAATCAATGCTGAGCACGAAGTTCCGTCAACAAGGACGTTTGCCACCGGGATCGCCGTATTTACATCTTGGTTGGGGAGAAGGCTGGCGCTGATGCCTTGTCCCCTGTAGTGTTTACGAACAGTCTCAGGCCCAGTGTCCTATCTTCCTGCATTGATAGCAGCGTGTTCCATGCTTCCGGCAGTCTTTTGCCATGTGGCCTTTAACGCTACACCTGTAGCATGTCACACTGGTGCATGGGCCGCTCTTGGTGGGAGATGTGCCGACACTATGGGGTGGGTGCACAGCCGCAACAACGTTCTGACTTTCATCTCTGGTAGTTGTCAGCACTCTCTTGTTAACAACTCCCCTACAGTCAGTGCTTCAACGTTCAGTGCCTGTCGGAGTTCAAAGGAGATTGCATCAGGAAAACCCATGAAGAAGGCTAGTTTGGTGAGCCTTTCCATCTCAGCTCCCTTGAATCCGGCCAATCGAACAAACTGTCTGACTTTATTTGCGTAAACGTCTACGTGCTCGTCGGTCCACCTGACCATGGTCAGTTTTCTATATGCTGAAAACGCATCGTCTGTGAATGCCTGCTTCAGTCTGGCTTTGATTTGATCGATGTCTCCTTGATCTTCCACCTCCATTTCCATGTAGAGGGCTAGTGCGTCACCCTCCAGGTATAATGGTAGCAGACTAGCCACATCATCCACCTGCTGAAGTCTCGCCACCAGCCTAACCTTTTTCAGCCACGCCACCACATCGCCCTGGCCGGAAAATGGTTTTATAATATCACTGCTTATGCGAACCTTCGCCATAATCCGCCGAAATATCTTGAGAAAAACAAAAAAGTGACGAGACGGTTCGCCAGCAAACCAGCTGTTCTTCGCTGTCAGACGCTTCAAAGAAATGAATTGCGAGACTCCTTTTCTCAGCCGTTACACCGGGTAGTCGTGCAACGGACACCCAAATCAGACGCGCCTACTTCAACCGCCTCTTGGTCTGCCAGTCTACTCTGTTTCATGAAGTTCGCCGAATGACTCGCTGTCTGCTGTGCCACTGGCACCTCGCCTTTTTTATGCTAGTCTGACACTGCTGAAATTTGCATGTGTACTGGTACAATCTCATTTTGGACGAGACATGGCCCATGTTTTCTCTTGGATTCATCATGCAAGCAAGACACGTTTGCACACGTTTCGAGCTCCGAGGTAAGTCATCACAATTGACCCCTTCTTTCTTCCTGTTAATCATGAGACATGGTCTTGTCACTTGCACTTTTAGGCAAGTGCATATAAATCTATATGTCATCTCATGCTTTTGTGTCTCATGTCTGTTCCAAGTCATATTCCAAATTAACCCTTTCTTTTTCGTTTTGCCAGTGTCACATCACAATAAAAACTTCACTGTGTCCTGCTTTCCTGCCTGCTGGAAGTCATCCTCTTTCAGTTTTTAAGAACTCTGACCCTTCCAACTATTGGCCTATTAGTCTTCTGTTTCTTCTTAGGGAAACTCCTAGAGGCCCTAATCAATGCTGAATTGGTTAAGAATCTCTCATTGCAGGATCTTTTTTTCAGGCAAGCAATATGGCTTTCGTTTCTCCAGGTCAACTTCTGATGTACTGATGATAATCGCAGAAAGAGTCTATCATGTTCTAGATAAAAAACAGTGAAGCCTGGGCTGTAGCTTTGGACATCTTGAAACCTTTTGACAGGGTTTGGCATGCAGGTCTTCTCCACAAGCTGAAAAGTTATGGTGCCTCCAGATACATTTTTGAATTGATCCAGTCTTTCCTATTAAATCATGAAATGAAAGTTATCCTGAATGGTCACTTGTTTAGATCCTTTTGTACTAATGTGGGGGTCTGCCAGGGCTCCATACTTGGTCTTATCTTGTTTTTAATTTTTGTTAATGACCTTCCCGATGACATCAGCTCTCAACTTAGTAAATAATGATACAGCCATTTACTCCTAGTAAGGCTGATAAGTTTGATACGGTCAAAAGGGAAGCTGATGTCAAAAACTACCTCAAATCCATTGTTAACTGTGACAAAAAAATGACTTATCAATTTTAACACCTCCAAGACTAAATTAGTTCATTGAGTGGCTATGAGGACAGCACTACATATTGTTTACAACTTTCCACAGCAGCTAGCAGCAGCAGAGTATTTTGGTGATACAGTCTTGCTCATTTCTTATATATAGTGGCATACAGAATAGTAAGTAGTATATATTATTCTTTGGTTTTAGGCTTCTTTTTTATTTATTTACTTTTTTTTTTTGCCTTCGCGTCACATAAAACAATGAAAACCTCGTGGTTGGGAGCATTACTGATTGTTTTATTTCCTGTTTTGAGCTTTGTTCTACTTTAAATAACACAGCCATATATATGTGGAATGAGCTGGAAAGACTTTACATTGGGTTTTTTTTTTTTTTTTAGGGATGATTTCTGTTATCTGGAAGTTTCTGTTGTCCAGCAGTGGCTTGGTTCCAAGAGTGTCAAATTAAAGAGGTCAGGCTGTGTTCTGACTAGTAATTGAATTTGACCATTTGACTTTAACCAATCTTAAATATTTGTTTTTATTTTTTTTAATTATTTTGTAGGTAGTGCCAGGAATCAAAAGATTTCTGCCATTACAATGGCTGTTCAGATAGGATCACAGATCTTTCAGGTTTGTGGATATTTGATTTTACCTCTAATTAACCTCATGGCTGTTATTAAAAAATAATATTGGAACAATATGGTTCCATTGAAAATGTCTTTTGGGATAAAGCTGCACAAGATTTTGAAATAGAATTAAGAGTTCACTTTATCTACATGTCTTTCCTGTTTAATCATTTAAGGAGAATTTCTCCTTTGGTTTTGTACTATTAAAGATGTTAAATGCCTGCAGTTGTAAAAAGTCAAGAATCTCATTTACTTTCTTTTTCCTGATACATATGTCCCAGTCGACCTATATATATATATATATATATATATATATATATAAAATCTCAAAGGAGACTTGAAACAGTTAATACTAACAACTTTTATATTAATTTTTTTTTTAATTTTCAAATTTTTATGATAGTTGATTCTTCTGGGAGTGTGACTTGTCATGTAGGAATTTGCTCTTAAGTAAAAGGAATATTTCTTAAGACATTCCATCACATTTGGTTAGAATCTTTTTTGCCTGTCAAAGTTTATTTATATTTATCAAGTATTAAACAAATTTTGCTATAATTATTAGTATTAGTTGAAAGTGATTATAATTTGCAGCAGAAATGTTCTTTCAAAAGGCTGTTTGAATAGACCTTTCTTCTCACATTTGCGGACAGTGAGGAAATGGGGCTGTTTTAACTCTGGAATTGAATGACATGGCCAATCTGTAAAGATTTAAACTGGTGGAACTAAAGAATGGAGCTCATCTAATCACTTGTCATGGAAATAGCAATAGGGTAGTGAGAGGCTTGCAACATTATGTCTGTGGGGAAAGAAGTTAGTGGAAAATGTATTTCCCCATAAGATGCAAATTATTTTGAACTCTGTCAAGGCTGGAAAATATGGATTGAGCAGTTCCAGCCCAGATATGATAGAAATAATCCATTTTTGGACAAATTTGATGTAAAAGTAAAGCATTTTGATGTAAAAGTATAGTAGAAAGCATTAGGTACTTCTTGGAGTGATTAGAATGAGCTAACCATTTTTCCACTCTATTTAGCATAATCTTGGAAAGAAAAAAGAAAGAAAAATTTTGATTAACAAAGAGCCTTTCCTATGAGCCAATAGTCTGGTATTTGTGAAATCCATATTTTTGACTATAATGCATATGTAACAGGAGCCAGTGATCCCTTACCAAAAGTAATAAATGTGATTGGTTCCATGATGACAGAGAAAGGGCGATGTGACATAATCATGATATAATCAGCTATTCCAATCACTATGCTTAATGTAAACTTTTAGTTTGTACTCATGATTCCAGGTATATAAGTTCATTGAAGGATGCATGTATTAGGTGCGCCTATTTTCATCGTTCCACTCCATCATGCATCTACTAGTTGAAGTCTTTCTTTACATTGTGTACTTGTTGGGATGAATTATGTGGCATGTCTTTTTATTCACTCCAACAGGGTGTGGGTTTTAGTTTGTGGTCCAGATGATTTGACTCTAGCGACTTTATCAACTCTGAACTTCCTGAAAGGCTGGGGAATTTCTAGCAGAAAGAACAAACTCTATTGATAAAGCTATCAACAATTTATTAAAGATGAGAAAATATAAAAGTTGCAACCATCACACTTATGCAGTTTGACTTCAGTAAAGTCTTTTCTTCCCTTGAAGCATTGAGAGATATCTAATAGTTAAAATGAGGGTGTGTTACCAATTTCACTACTGCTAAAATTTTGCTGAAAACAAATGGCAGTGTGTGTGTGTGTGTGTGTGTGTGTGTGTGTGTGTGTGTATGTGTATGTATATATATATATATATATATATATATATATATATATATATACACACACACACACACACACACACACTCTCTTATAAAGATAATGGTCTGAACGGGGAATTAATTGATTAATTAGACACCCACACAAAGATCTTTGTTAAACAAATACAATTTATGGGTATATGTGGGGGAGAGATAATGTTTAAACCTAGACTTGAACAGGTTAAGATTGTATTTGCCTTATCATGCCATTCTCCTGTAGCCTAATTGGTAACCGTATGCTTCAGTTATAGGAGTAGTTTTCCAATGAAAAAAGAGAATATAGTTTCAATTCCTGTTGGGAGGCACATTTTTCTTTTGTAAGACTTCTTGATCTTGGCTGTTTAAGAAAATAAAAAAAACAGGGATAGCAACTCAAACATTTGTACCCATGAAAGAATATAACATTTATAGTAAAAAGTTGCTGGATTAGAAAAATCCATTTTTTACACACACACACACACACACACAGTTCTCTTTTTGAACAGTTTTGAAATAACATGGTTCAACAAAAAGAATCAAATTTTTTTTTTGTGCTATTTTTTTAATTCAATACTGTTTAAATATTTCTTTGTGTGATGACCAAATTTATTGCAAGTGGCAAGTAAACAATTAAGTAGCATCAATCAATTATAATTTACAAAATTCCGAAAATGCATAGGATAATTAAGTAACAATTTAGTGAAGTAAAATAGAATCCAGTCTATTTTTCCATATAGTTATCCCCACTTTCTGATGTGGGTGGGACTTATGCACTGTACTTACATAGTATTTCAGAGAATGTTTATGATTCCATGTTAGTTTATAATAGTGATGATGAAGTGGTCCCACTATCTGCAAGTACAATTCTAGAAGGCCTTCAAATTGCCAATAAATGTTGAAATCATTTTCTTACAAATAATAACAATGTTGAACAAGCTGTGCAATTCCGACATGATTTGAAAATGTTGATGGCACGTTATGAAAAATCATATAAATGACTAGCAAAAACAAAATCACAGCTTCTGATAACTGAATTCGTATTCAAAACCAGTGAAACAAAAGAAACGCAAGATTTTAATTTTATTCAAGATACACATGAAAATATATTGCTATTAAATATTTCCAGTGACAAGAGTGATTTTGTGCCACCGAAAAACAACAGAAAGTGGGTGCATTTACTGTCTAGTAGTGACACTAAATTATTTTTATATATATATATATATATATATATATATATATATATATATATATATACTAGCAGCATGGCCCGCATTGCTTGTGCTTGATTAAAAAATTGTACGACTCATACAGCAATCGCTATCACTTAAAAATATTTTTGCCCTTCCTTGCCTTCTGATGTTGCTACATGCCTTA